AAACTGCTAAAGCCAGMCTTTTCTGTTCTGAGCAWAAAGCCACAAGTCAAAGCTTCATAGAGCCMCTGCAGAGGAACCAAAGAGTAACTGCTCTTGTTTGGACAACACAACAGTAACATGTTCAGACACAGACCAGAAGTACAGTGATAAAAACATACTGTAAATGGAATAGAAAGTTGGAAAGCTTTTCAAAATTCTTCTGGTTGCTCAATTTTGTTTGAGGCTTGCAATTCAATACCAGCTGCTACTGGGGATGGGTACGTTTGACATTTGTATCAATTTGGGACCAATATCCGATACCTGGCTGATAATCGATACCGGTACTCAATGATACCAATTTTCGGTACTATGTGTGTATTGTCTTTCTAATAATAAACTTTTTTTAATTTGACATATTTATTTCTCAATATATAAAATTTAACAAATATCAAGACAACATCCAACTCTTTGTATTGTAACATCAGTTGTTKAACAAATTTCTTTAAAGTGAAAACTCTTGAAAACAACTAACGCAGTGTTTTCTTATTGCACAAATTAAAATCCAGCTCCAATGTATTTCTACTGACGTCATTTCCCTGCTAGAAAAATTCTGTGATGGAGGTCCATGGAAGACAAATGAGTTTAAATCAAATAAGCAAAAAGGGGATGGAGTTAAAATAAATAAAAGGTATTCAAGCTACGTTTTGAGCATCCAAAACGMGTCCAACACTTCAAGTTGGCTGCTTGTGCTCTTTCAGGTCAGACACGTTCAGACTGTCGGGAAGAGCCTCTGTTGTTTCCCTCTGCCGGTCTCTGTTTAATGGCAGATGAAATAAAGAAAGTGGCGGTACTTTTACTTTGAACAAGCAAACGTCGTGCTCACAAGATAACTGATTCACCAGATAATTCAGACGCGGCCTGTTCGGTGAGTTTTACTCCAGGAGCTGTGAGGCTTTCGAGCTAAGTTCAGACGGAGCTCTGAAGTGGTTTCAGATAACAGAGCACTTCCAGGCATGACCCCGCCTATTTTATTACGTCATCAGGAAGGGGTTTCTACTCTCTGGGAGTCGCGCCTCTAGACAAAAATAATACTGTACTCATGAYGATAAACCATTATTTATGTGTTGAATTTGTGTTCAGGCATGTATCTACTTTACGAAATCAAGTTAAGCAAAACAGTCACATTTAACAATCTTTACTACTTCTATAGACTATTCCATGTGTATGTAATTTAAATCAGTGCCTAAACCAATGCATTAYTTCAGTACCAACAGAATAAGGTCGGTACTTATAAAAGTATCAAATTTGGTACCCATCCCTAGCTGTTACTATTATAACAAATCCAAATATCTCACTCAGCAACTGGAGTGTGTTAGTGAAGTAGGTCTGCTGGGTCAGCTTCAGACCTTTTCATCAGAAGTGTAAGAGTAAAGAGGGCAGTGTCATCTTTTCAATAACATTTGAATTTAAAGACTATTCTTAACTATAGGTTSAAACATCAGCCTGTACCTTTTGCTTAAAAACACCATTTTAAACCCCTAACATTCATCAAGAAGATAGGTCAGACAATGGTAACACAGACAGAGCAGAGCTGATACCCGTATGATTCTACCATCCAAAATAAATGATGACCAAGGCATTTTTGAAGTAGCCTGTGTCCAAAAAGGAAACCAGGCCAGCTTGCACAATTCACAACCCTCCTGTGGCACTCTGTGCTACATCCACTGAGGTTAAAGGGTGACAGAAGGAAAAACCTCACAAGTCTGGCACACTSACCAGTCCACTTTTGCTCACGTCAAACATGCAGAGGTCAAAACCATTTCCTTTAGGAATTATGCTTAAGAATGGTCAGGCTCAGCACTAATCTGCTGCAAAGAACAAAGGCTCTTTCATGAAACAGCTCGACGAAATGGCTGTGCAGACCAGTCCGCCCTTTAGCTCTCTGATCGTTCATACATCACAGATGAAGCATCTCAGTCCTTGAGTGAGGTGCCTTTTAAAAAGAGCCTTAAATGTGTGTGTGCTCAAAAGCTCCAATAAAACAATGATGTGGTCTTTATAATATAACTATTWTTAATGTTGTTATTATTAATATTAACTGCTACCAAAGGAGTCATTATGAATTCTGCTAGTTGCAATATATGAGGTCTGAAGCATTAACACTAAGTGCAGCTTTGGAATACCACAGAGCAATAAAAATTGATTTCCCATCTTTAAAAGACAAACAGTCAGCCTGCCGATCGTTGTCGAAGAGTTTTATAAAACAAGATGTAAAGCACTGACTGATTATTGATGCTGTTTTTAAGTCAAGCCTGGTTTTATGATTTTTTTTTAAAAACTGCTCTAAAATGATGCATGTTTTCAGCATTTTGTTAAAGGTGATATATCATGCAAAATCCATTTTTCAGACGTTAAATATATTTAGTTGTGTACTTGGAGTCTCTAGGAGTGCAGAAACGTTTAGTTTAGTCTCTCCCAGTGTTGTGTAGATATWTTTTTTTTCTGTTTGGATCATATTTTTTAACCTGTACAGTTTTCTCTATTTTCTATGATTTTTTTTAAACTATGCGTCACAGGTTTTGCAGCAGAACTGTCAAATAAGGTCAGGACTTCTAGGACTCCGGCTCCAACATGTAAGGCTGGGTGGATAAATCTTCTGTTGTTGACATCTTTTAATTAATTTGCAAATAAAGGATTTCTGGGCCACTTGATAGTTGTACCTCTGCTACCAAACTAGAATGGATCGGTCTGAAAGCTGGAGGGGGGCGGGGTGTGAAGTGCCACGTTTGAATTTAAAAAGATAGCATCAAAACAAGTTGATATGAGACACACCTTAGAAAAGGAGTGAATTAGGGGCTTGTGGAGTTACAACAAGGGCGGATTTAAAACCAAAGCATTGCAGTCCCAGACCACAACTGAATGATTTAAATAAATAAAAAAGGATTTAAAAGCAAAATATGTCTCCTTTAATACAGTATAAAAACATTACCTTTGCTATGAAGACTCTAAATAAAATACTGTAGCTGACCAATGTAAATTTTATACACATATTCAAAATTATTTCTATCAAATGAAAAGCAAATGACACATTAAAAGGTATTGGGGGAAAAGGCACAGAAWATTAACTTTTGCTTGAGATTATTTGAATCTTAAAAAGACATGGTGCAATGCAATTCATTACTGTGTCATTTTTRTTCACCTTGATATATTTTTACATTATCCAAAATCTATCCATCTATCCATTACGGGTGTAACAATACATCGATCTATATCGAWATATCGATTTGAATGGCTTATGATTCAGTTATATCGAGGCAAAATGAAAATATCGATCTATATCGTCATCATATGCTCGATGGGAATCGATATCATATGCCCATCTAACACAGTCATTGTGTTAGATGGGCAWATGATATCGCATTTTATCGATTACAGACATGTGAATTGATCTGAATWKAAATCATATCSTGACAGACTTTGTGATATCAAGAAATAGYGAATCGTCATCCAAACATATCGATGTAATATCGTATCGTGATAAAGCTGGTGATTTACACCCCTACTATCCATTTTCTGCCATTTATCTGTGGTCGGTCAATAAGGCCATCCCTCTCCTCACTAATTCTCTCAAGCTCCACCTGGGGGATCCCAAGATGTTCTTAAACCAGAGTAAATACAAGATCCCTTTAGCAGAACTAGATTTGCCCTTCTACTCCCAGTGGGACATGACCAGAAAACCTCCAAAGGGAGGCAACCAGGTTCTAATCAGACATCTGAACCACCTCAAGTCTTTTCAATGCCGCTCTACTCCAAGCTCCCCCTGACAATAAGGCTCCTCGCTTTACTACTAAGGTGAGCAATTGGCACTCTATTTCTGTCCTGATCATAGGTGAGGGTTGGAATGTACAGTAGATGGACCAGTAAGTTGAGAGCTTTGCCTTTTTTAGCTCATCATGACAGATTAGAGCCAACCCCTTCATTAATGCAAACAAGGTCCCAATCTAGCTTCTGATTCATCTTACCATTATCCATAAACTGATGTAGATCACATCCACATCACATATTTAAATTGCAATAATTAGTGCAAGGTGCAACACACACACAAAATAATGATTTCTGCAATAAATGGATGGTTTGAAATAATAGTTTTACCATTAAATTTTCAAGAAAAACACTCAGATAACATGATTGGGAGTTAAATCTCTGGCATTTTTGTAAATTAACCAGACGTGTGTAAATGTACTTACTGATTAAATAACAGGAATTAGATTATTTTCATCAATTTCCTGCATTTGAAGAAATCATACAATAAAGTTCATGTAGGAGGGGGAAAAATCTATTTTGTATGGACAGCTGCAGACTGTTGTTCTTCAGGGATTACCAGTGCCAGACAAACACACATCAGCAGCAGGGAACTCTGTGGACATGACTAATGTTTACACAGTCAGGAGAGGAGCTCTGTTTCAATCAAACAGGCCAGGGCTGAATTTTCCTGGCTATTAGCGAGAGACCAGAGAACAAAGCGTTTCCTGCAACCAGCTCATCAGAGTCACAAAAGTGCAGAACCAAGTCTGGAAGGGAGGCTATCAGAGAAAAGCCAGAAACTGTTTTTTTTTTTTTTTTTTCACAAAGAAAAGTTCTCGCTATTCTAGGAAAGCTTTAAAATTTCAAATTTAGGGCAACACAGAAGGATGGATTGATTATGATCCCAACAGCAAAGTGTCACATGCATTAGGTTCAGGTCCAGGAATTGCAGCTATTTTCCTGGATGCATTTGGGTAAAAAAGAAAAAAAAAGACAAAAGAATGTGTTGAGGACTGAGCCCCATGCAGCATTCTGCATTCTAACTGAGGTCATGCTTTTCCTGAATCTGGTGACTGGATTTCCCCAATTTTCCTATTTCTGCACAGGCATCCTAAAGGAGCCCTTTCACTGCTGCGCCTACATCAGCTGAGCAGAGAGACGCTTCAGAAGGTCACACTGACCTCAGCCAAAACGAAATCTGTTATTTTGTAACATACCTGCAGGTCAAAGAATTTGCTGTATCTCCTGTAGATGACATGGGAAGTGGAGTCTGAGTACGTGACGTTGATGAGATACACCTAATGAGAGAAACAAATAAAAGCAAAGCTGATTAAAATCACATATTTTAACTTAACTTCAAAGGTCAGAAAAACTAATTAAATTCCAGTGTTTCAGTCGCTAATCGGAAAACTATCAGATCAGTAAAAAGGTCAATAGATTGGAAATTTTATGACATTAAAACCAACTGTAATGAATTATATTTGACTAAAATAGAATTTCCCAACATATTACAAGTCATTTTCCCAGTAGTGTCAAATCTTACGTCAACACAACCCACTTCAATCTGTTGTTTAAAGAAACAAAGGATGTTCCTGTTATGTCAACTTATAGAAACTCTGAATCATCACAGATGGATGATAGAGCAAAGCATCTGCACGCGATGTACCTGTAACTGGCTCTCACCMACATGCATGGAAGTTTATAAAACAAATCGTGATTTCTTGGGGGGGGGATCCACAATAAATGTTAGTTTCATCAACAAACACATACGCATGACCAGAGATTATATAAGACTGGTGAACCATAAACATTGTCAGGTTTTAGATGCTTTGAATAGATTAAATGGAAATACAGCGAACCAAGATTTCTACTGACTGTCATCCTATGGAAAATGAACAAGTCTTCAGCATGCTAATAAGAAATAGCTAAAGATGTAGCATTTAGACAAAAGCCATGGCTTTGTCTGAACATGCAAAATATTAAATCTAGAAGAAATAATAATATTGATGTGATCTTGTAATTTATAC